AGCAGACGACATTTCCGCTATATGATTAGCAATAAGGATGTTTTATGAATACTAATTTTATATGGTGGCATACTATTTGAACAAACTATTGATGATGATGATGAATTTTGTTATATCGCAAAATGAGGAAGTTCAAATGATGCAAATTTTCAGTAGCAATAAGCTTCCTGCTCTCATCGTAGTAACACAAACTTTCAAGTAAAGTTAAACACCTAATTTTTCATAAAATGGTGTGATTTTCAACAGAATTAAGACATAACAGATCAATTATATACCAATAGAAATAAGATGGCGTTGAATCAATCTTTCTGTAACAGCTATTAAGCCTTTATGGTGGTATATTTTTTTACTCAGGCCATAGCAGGCATTCTCCATCAGGATCTGAACGGGCAAAAAGGTATGACCTCCACAGTTGGCAGGTCAATGGCCATTCTAATTGCTTATCTGTTCTGGCTCAGGTAATCTATCAACAGAATAGAATCCAGCAAGTTTCAGACATTTTAGGCCTCCTGGAATTGAGACAACTTTCTTGTTTCCAGGGTCACCAACTCTAAATGTTCAGAAACCTTAAAATAACTTTTTTTATTTGATTGATAGCACTGATCCCTTTCAGGTAAGAAGACATGAGCTTGCTTACCTCTAAAGTGAATTCTGTGGTTAGTCAAGTCTTCTTTTTTTCTTCTCAGAGGAACATGGCAAAATCAGGCTTCAACCCCAGTCGCTATCACTTCCCACTACACACACGTACGTACATACTAGATGAAACTTCTTTACATGCACTGCTTTGGAAAAAACATATCTATGCTTATATTTCAAGCAGCGTGCAGGTCTTATTTTATTGAAAGTGTTATGGACATGCTGGTAGACTTAAAAATCATTGAAAATGGCTTCAAGGCTGTTTCATCAACAGTTAGTTACAATGAAAAATGAAATGAAAGTGTCAGGCTTGTAGATGCCTAGAGCTCCGTGAGAACTCAAATACCCCAACAAAGCATTGGCTTCCCTGCTTCTTAAAATATTGGAGGCAGCACCATTTATATAATGGCAATGCAGTATGCTCCTATCTGGATAGGGATAGCCTAATTTCTGTTGTCTGTGCTATATATTGGTCTCCCTTTGAAGATGGTTCAGAAACTTCACCTGGTGCAGAATTCATGGTAGCAGATAGCAATTGTTAATCTGTTGGAACTGCAGATTCAAGTGAATACTTTTTGTATTGCCAGACTTCAGAACTCAGAGAACTCTTATCAGTTGCAGGCTTTGAAAGCAACTGAACTTAGGACTTGGTCGTGGACTTTATCACAGCAAGGACTTCAAAGCAAAGGACCCTCTCTGGATCCAGAGAGAAAAGACTACTTGTAACATCTGTGAAAAGTAGTGGTATATGTTGGTGAGGATCTAGTAAATACAACTCTGCTAAACAGTTGTTTTCTGTGCTGAGCTTAACTGCTTAACTGAGCTTCCATGGTGCATATACCCAACACCCCAACACCCCACAGCCAATCAAAGCCTGCCAAAGCCCTCCAGGTTCTCCAATCCCACACCTCCACAAATTACTGCTGCCCAACGAGTTGGGGGGGACGGACACCCAGGCTTGTCTTCATTCATGCTTTTTGTTTTCTCGCTACAAATTTTCAGCTGTTGATAAAGCAGCTATTGATAAAGGTGAGCACCAATAACCGATTTGCCAGATACTTCTTAAGCTTAAAGCAATGATGTTTACCATAAATGAAAGTAATAATTTTATCTACTGAAAGCTGTATTTTTCATTTCGTTAGCAGAACTTTCATCTCTTGTACATCACTTCATTATCTAGTAGACAACTATATAAAATAAACTTTTAGATGAAATGGAGAGTTAAAATGTGAATTAAAATAAATAAATTAAAATAAATCTTATGTATGCAAACAGTTTATTGTTGTAGTTTAATATTATCTTGTTTATACCTAGCTAAGAGCAGGTGATAGAACCATTACAAAAATAGCTACCCTGATGACAGTATTTGAAATTATGTGATTCAATGAGACATGAAACATGCTATGAATCATGTGTTAAATATATTTTTGACACATGTGTACCTCCTTATAGAGCAAGACTTCTGTCTTTTCAAAATATTAGCAAGCTTGTAATTGTTTGGACATATCTTCCACACCTTGTGTGCTTTTGAATAATCACACACATCACACTTTATCTCTCCACCTGTGGTAATTATATTTTATTTGGTTAAGTTTCTAGTATACATTTTAATTTGGTATGACATTTCTTCATTCCTCCCCTACAGTGTTTATTGTTCATTAGCAGCTTCTATCAATAGCATCAGCACAATGCAGAAATATTTCCCTTATTTAATACATTAGGAAATGAGGATGGATGTGGGAACTGGTTTTTCAAGAAACATACATATAACCCTGTCAATGTTCAAAGTGCCTTACAAAACCTGCTCCACTTGGGTAATACAAAATAAACCAAAAAACCAAATATAAAGCAGACTTGCACAAAAGATAATACAAAAATGTGTACAAGTTAAACATAGAGGTGTACGTGCCAGCCCCCTCGGCCACGGCCTGGTCCGGGAGCATGCGCAAGTGTTCAGCGACCCACCTCCAGTGGAGCTGTGGGCATGTTAATGCATCAGCAGAGTAACAGCAAGAAGCGAGGCTGTGGAAGCATTGGCATCGCAAAAGCTTCACATGTCTGCTCTGTCCGAAAGCAACGAACAAAGAGAAAAAGTACAAAAGCACATAGGACTGGTTCCGTTCCCACACTCCTATCACAGAGGAATGTAAACAGTGGATCACGAGATCCAACGGCAATGGAGAATGAAAATTCTAACAAGAGGCTTAACTCCACACATAGCTTCTGCCCGTGGAGGGGATATCATTTTTGCTGATATCCTTTTTGCTTAAGAAGTTTTGGGGACAGTGCAGGAGATGGCACTGGGGGCTGTAAGTGAAAAGATTAAGTTAAAAATGTTCCTTCCCACACCGTTTGGATCCAACACAATATAGATTCAACACAAGAGTTAACTATGCATGGTTTAATTACCTAAAAAGAATTACACTGTCATCATAATCTGAGGCCCTTCTTTTTGTATGCTTCCTCCACAAGAGGTCCGGATGGTGGCAACAAAAGAATGGTGGTTCCATACTTGTGGAATGCTCTCTTCAGGTAGGCTTACTTAGCACCTTCATTACATATCTTTGGATGCCAGGCAAAAAACATTTCTTTTCTCCCTGGCTAATTAAACAATCTATGGCCTTTAAAACTGTTTGAGGGGTTATTGTTTTTGTTTGTTACTACAGTGGTACCTCTGGTTACGAACTTAATTCGTTCTGGAGGTCCGTTCTTAAGCTGAAACCATTCTTATCCTGACGTGTGCTTTCACTAATGGGCCTCCTGCTGCACGCACCTCCGGCACGAGATTTCCGTTCGCATCCTGGGGCAAAGTTTGCAACCAGGAGCAGCTATTTCCAAGTTAGTGGAGCTCGTAACCTGAAGTGTTCGTAACCAGAGGTGCCACTGTATGTTACATATTTTTGTCTTTTTATATTGTAAACTGCCCAGTAATCCTTGGATGAAGGGCGGTATAGAAATTTAATTAACAATAACAGTGTTTTCTGACAGAATGGATTCCCATATCAGTACAAGGTTAAAACAGAGAAGTAGGAAGCAGAATAGAGCACAAAGAACCTTTTTAAATATTAAAGCCAAATTAATCCACCGCAAAGTATAGTTATTTGTATTAATAATTTTGTGTTCATAGCACTTTGTGGAATCAAAGTTGAAGCTCACTGCGATTCACATTAAAGAGCTCGTGGACATCTTCAGTGGCATCAGCAATATGAGGAAGGAAAGTGATGCAGATAAAATCCTCACAAGTCTTCAAAGATTAGATTGAAAGGCAGTGCCTCTGATCAGCCTAACTCTCCCTTGTTCTCTCTCTGATCAGTAGATTCACAAGCTCCCCAGCTTTTTGGCAGATGTCTCTGTATGCAGTAGAACAGCTGCTGGATATCTGGCCATATAAGCACAGATGACTAATATATGCCAGTTCCCTATTAAACCATGTTTAAAATCCTACACAAAGTACAATGTGGTTCTTTCATATTATCTCATGGGGATAAATAGCTATTGAACTTTCTTCCATGGGAGTAACCATTTGACACTTGGGCATAACTGCCACCTTTTCTGCTCCTTTATGATGGATATGAAGCTAAGAAATGGCAGGAAAGGATTTAAATTCTTTGACCTGCTGAGTCTCTACATGGTATTTCGTACCGTGCTGATCAAAAGATTGCACAAATATTTCAAAAATATTGCACAAATGTTATGGAATTCCTCATTGGCTCAGTTAGGGCTGGTGTTGCATGTTGAGTCCCACAATGCCACCCCCCAAAGAATTCACACTTCACACATCAATTTTTGTTTAAGGTTTTTGGCATGATTTTGGCCACAACTTTATTCAAAGTACAAAAATGTGAGTGGTTGCTTAGGCATTGGTTATGACTATCTGTCCTTGCCCCAGGGACAGAGCTGACTTCCGGATTCCAGCGGAAGCCAGCGTGGGAAACAAGTATTGGGTGAGAAAATGAAGCTGGGCATCAGTCTCACACTTCTCACCCTCATGTTCCGGTGGGGCTTGCACGGCCCAAGTCCGATACCAGGGACAAGGACGAAAGAATGGCAAGCCCCTGGATTCCTTTAACGGAATTCCCATTTCCGCACCACCATTGGAGGGGTAGGCACTTACCCTCCACCAACCAAATTTAACCAATGCCTAACCGCCAACCTTACAAGTTGTGACGATTTGCTACGCAGTAGGCAAAAACCAAATGGCACCAGCCAATCAGCCAAATGGCAAAATTCCTACCAGGCCCCCGCACCAAGGCGGACGACCCCATGACAGGCATAGCAAGGTCAAGATCCAAAAAACCCCCCCTTATTAAAGGGAGGGTGGGCGGGTGAATCAGTGCAAAAGGCCAAGAGGACGCCCAGTGTTGGACGTCCTGTATTTAAAGCCTCTGACCCCACCTCCAAATTGGCAACATTCAAAACTCCCCAGTAACCCAAATTAACCACTTAAAGGCTTGGGTTCCTCGCCAAATCTGCCCAGTAACAGCAGGGTGGCCTGTTCCCCCAACCGCAACACGTGCTCTCTTTTATGGAGAACACGCTTTGCGTGTTGAGTCCCACAATGCCACCCCCCAAAGAATTCACACTTCACACATCAATTTTTGTTTAAGGTTTTTGGCATGATTTTGGCCACAACTTTATTCAAAGTACAAAAATGTGAGTGGTTGCTTAGGCATTGGTTATGACTATCTGTCCTTGCCCCAGGGACAGAGCTGACTTCCGGATTCCAGCGGAAGCCAGCGTGGGAAACAAGTATTGGGTGAGAAAATGAAGCTGGGCATCAGTCTCACACTTCTCACCCTCATGTTCCGGTGGGGCTTGCACGGCCCAAGTCCGATACCAGGGACAAGGACGAAAGAATGGCAAGCCCCTGGATTCCTTTAACGGAATTCCCATTTCCGCACCACCATTGGAGGGGTAGGCACTTACCCCTCCACCAACCAAATTTAACCAATGCCTAACCGCCATGGAGCCCTTAGCTCACCGCCAAACCACTCACAGACCCAGCCAAGCCCTCAGCTTAGCCACCACCGCACCTAGCCAAGCCTCGTTCCCTAAGGCCGAAAGGTGCACACCATCGTCTCTGAAAAAGGATTCATTCTGAGCGATAATCTCAGAATGAGAGATTACATCGCCACCCAACTCGAAAACCTTTTTCGACACCGCAGAATTGATACGCTTTCTGGCCCTTTCGATGGCAGCTGGGCAACGACTCCCTCTCCAAGCACGTCGTTGCAGAAACTTCGACCAAAATAACTTTGCAGTCGGCAACATAGCCCGCAGCACGTCGAGGTCGCCCAAAATTGCTGCGCGTAACGAAAAACAGTCCATGGAGACCAGGTCGTTCTCACCCAGCTGCACCACAATAGCTGCAGGAGGCCCCTCCAACAACATCTGCCTCCGAATCAGCGGCAGGAACTCTGACCAGCGCATTCCCCGTCTGGACAGCCAAGCCAAGTGGACATGTGGAGGAAGGCCGAGACCTGGTCCCAATCCGGATTGCCGGGCTCCGATGCCGGCCCAATGCACGATACTGTGCCCCACCAACCAGATGCGGACAGTCGCTAAACCTGAGGTAAAACAAGCAAAATTGTAAGACACCAATAATGTTAACGAACATAACCTTTGAATGCATTCGATTTCCAATGACCTGTATTTTATTTCCACTGCCTTATTAACACGCTTTCCGGCCTTCTCGGTGGTAGTTTGTCTAGGCATTGGTTCCTGACTAGCTGCACCTGACCTCAGCAGGGCAGCACTGACGACTGGGCCCCACCATATCATCAGTACCAGCAAACATTGTGGGGGGAGCAATGAATCCCAAGGCAATCGCATCCCGCCAGGTGTCGTTCCCCATAGGGGAAAGATGCACCCCATCTGCCCTAAAGAGGGCAACAGCCTTGAAGAAAATAGCAGGGTGCAATATTACAGAACCACCTAAAGCAAGGACCTATTTTATTTTATTTGTTATTTTATTTTATTTACTTTATTTATTTTATTCTATTGTCCACCGCCTTATTAACACGCTTTCCGGCCTTCTCGGTGGTAGTTTGTCTAGGCATTGGTTCCTGACTAGCTGCACCTGACCTCAGCAGGGCAGCACTGACGACTGGGCCCCACCATATCGTCAGTACCAGCAAACATTGTGGGGGAGCAATGAATCCCAAGGCAATCGCATCCTGCCAGGTGTCGTTCCCCATAGGGGAAAGATGCACCCCATCTGCCCTAAAGAGAGCAAGAGCCTTGAAGAAAAATAGCAGGGTGCAATATTACAGAACCACCTAAAGCAAGGACCTATTTTATTTTATTTGTTATTTTATTTTATTTACTTTATTTATTTTATTCTATTGTCCACCGCCTTATTAACATGCTTTCTGGCCTGCTCGGTGGTAGTTTGTCTAGGCATTGGTTCCTGACTGGCTGCACCTGACCTCAGCAGGGCAGCACTGACGACTGGGCCCCACCATATCGTCAGTACCAGTAACAGCGTGGGGAGCAATGAACCAGGATCAGACTCAAGCTCACCCCCAAATGCTCCCAGGGACTCTTGCATGCCCCTACCCCTCGAAAGGGGTCGACAAAAGCATGGTGAATCCTTTGCGCATTGGAGGGGACAGGTGCTCCAACCCCCCCTCCAGACCACCTTGAACCAATGCCTTAAATTATTTTGAGTCCTGGGAGAGCTGCCATCAACTCAATCCAAGCCCTCTTGCATGCAGGAATGCAAACTTATGCTGGAGGAAGACGGCAAGTCATTCTCGTCCAGCTGCACCACTAGCACTGCGGGAGGACCTGCACAGGTCACACTCGACCGCACCAAAGGAAGGATCTCCTCCCAAAGCATTCCCCATCTGGACATCCAGTATATGTTCACATGGGCAGGAAGACTGAGATGGCGCCCCAGTCCAAACTCGTCAACCTGCTTGCCAGCCTAGTGTACAATGCTGTGGCCCAAATGTGCACAGCTGCTCCTATGAAAAAAGGAAATAACAGACAAGCATCAGCACAGACATCATTGTGACACTTCCTGATATAACCCTTGTCAGCGTCAGACTTCCAATGACCCGTATTCACAATCCTGTCTACTGACAGGCCCCAGTGTGCAGCCTTTGCAGCAGCACCCAATCGTAAGGAATGAGGCGTGTTCAGCGGTAAGCAAGCCGCAGGCCGTAATAACTGGTGCACGACGTAAGCACATTGATGCCTGGCTAACGGGAACCCATTTTCATGCACTAGGAGCGGGCCAGCCCCCAGGGAATGAAAAGCCAAATATTCTGTTATCCATAACCAGGCAAGGGCCCTCCTCAACTGTGGCGGGAAGCCTGATTGTGGCACTCCTGCCCACTAAGTCTGTTTTAGAGTTCCCAACTCTAATGACAAGCTCCAAAGGATAAGGAAAAGTCCTGAAGCAATAAGCCTCCAGACTCTCAGCCCCATGCTGGCTCCAACAACCATTTTCCCAAGCCTCAGTGCGAAAATGCAGTGGACTACTGAAAGGAGTCTCGCCTTGATCTTTAACCAGCAGACAAGTTTTAACTTGTTGCAGATACTGCATAGGTAAAAATTGACCAGCTTCCTGCCCACTGTCCTATGAGGTTGGAGCCTATTCCAACCTTCCAAGGCCATGCGCACTACAAACTTCATACAAGGGTCTCTGAAAAATAAAGCTTCAGTGTAACAGACATTGCAGCGGACTGAATTCTGATAGTTATAACGCACGCCCAATCTGCAGCAGGTGGACCAAATACTGCGGATCTGCTCAGAGGATGGGGGCCAGTTCATCTGAATGGCCGAGGACTGCCAGCTTAAGGCTAAGAAATCCATCCAGGCCTTCCCATAAGAGCTAAAAGCAGAAGGGGAAATGGAAGCTGCTGCTCTCTGTAATTACTAATTGTTGTCAAAATGCCACAGGTGGTCTGGAAAAGTCTGGCAATAGCTGAATCTGGAGCCCAGGATCTGAAGCACTTCAGCTGAAAATGGGATAGAGTGTCAGCGACATCATTAGAGGATCCTGTAATTTGGAGAGTAGACAGCACAATATTAAACCTTAAGCGGCGCAGCTCGAAAGCATGAACGGAGGGGCGGAGACTGTGCTAGAGCGTGAGGACTGTTTTGCTAAGACGCTCACCACTACCTGGTTATCAGACCAAAAGCAGATCCAATGGTCACTGAACTCCTCGGGCCACATGTGAACTGCTACTACAATGGGGAAAACTCAAGAAAAGTTATGTCACATGATTGCCTCACCACACCGGGCTTGAGGCCATAGCTTTGCACACCAGCATCCCTTGAAATAGAAACCAAAGGGCAAAGATCCAGCAGCACCAGCATGAACCTGAAAATCCCTGTGCGGGTTCAAGGTATCCTGCCATGGCGAACTCCAGAGAAGCGGACACGGAGCAATGGATCCAAACTACAAGAAAGAAGATTCCACCTAAACATAAGGAAGAACTTCCTGACAGTAAGAGCTGTTCGACAGTGGAATTTGCTGCCAAGGAGTGAGGTGGAGTCTCCTTCTTTGGAGGTCTTTAAGCAGAGGCTTGACAACCATATGTCAGGAGTGCTCTGATGGTGTTTCCTGCTTGGCAGGGGGCTGGACTCGATGGCCCTTGTGGTCTCTTCCAACTCTGTGATTCTATGATTCTATGATTCTACTATTGCATACATTCAGGAATTGCTACCATCGCCTGATATCTGCCTTCACCACACTTGGTAGGCGTACACAAAGGTAAGGGGACCTCAGGCCGCAGGCAGCCTGGCCTAGTGGGAAGATTAATTAAGAGACCCAGCAAGATCGGATCTGATGAAGCATCACTTGCTACAGAGGAAGTATTACAAAATAACTTCCTTCAAGGCAGACAGCTTCTCCATAGGCAAGTGGTATGTTTTAGCAACGATATCCAACTAGATCCCTAAATAAAATGGGAATATGGGCAAAAGGTATTGAGCTATTGCTTGCCAGCTTCCAGCCCCCGCTTGGGCAGGGGGCATCTTGTGCTGCCATCATGATATGTAAATTTACAGGGCCGAGGCTGGCCAGAACCCTTAAAGAAGTCCCGACAAAGCTGCCGCCGAGCCAGCTTCCTTTTCAGACACACACTCTGTGCAATGCAAAAACACACTCCATGCAGTGCACACACACTCCATGCAATGCAACTACACACTCCGTGCAATGCAACTACACACTCCGTGCAATGCACACACAAACCCTCCGTGCAATGCAACTACACACTCCGTGCAATGCACACACAAACCCTCCGTGCAATGCAACTACACACTCCGTTCAATGCAAAACACACTCCCTGCAATGCAACTACACTCCATGCAATGCAACTACACTCCATGCAATGCAACTACACACTCCGTGCAATGCAACTACACACTCCGTGCACTACACACCCTCCGTTCAATGCAACTACACCCTCCGTTCAATGCACACACACTCCGTGCAATGCACACACAAACCCTCCGTTCAATGCAACTACACCCTCCATGCAATGCATACACACACACTCCGTGCAATGCAACTACACACTCCGTGCAATGCACACACACTCCGTGCAATGCAACCACACCTTCCGTACAATGCAACAACACCCTCCGTGCAATGCAACTACACCCTCCGTGCAATGCACACACACCCTCCATGCAATGCACACACGCTCCGTGCAATGCAACTGCAAATCTCTCATGCAATGCAATGCAATTGCAGCCCGTGCAGCGCCGTGCCCTGCAACACACAAACTGCAATGCGGGCACGCAAAGGTGCTTTCTCCCGCTTGCATATTGCAAACGTGGCGCCCGTTACATCCCTCGCAGTGAGGTAACCACCAAAAGGACTTAAGTGTCCAGGTAGAGCAATGGGGAGCATGCAGCTGTCCCATACAGGGACCAATCCTGCAACCCAGGCATTACCAGCACTATGCGCTGACCCAGTGAAACCAATGCTTCATGGACCACATGGGGACACTATTCAGGCCGGAAACGCTTCCAGGCCATTGAATTCTAGGGCAAAGCCCTAGGATCACCTGCTAGGCCAGGCATAAATGTTTCCAGTGAAATAGCAGAGTTGAGGTAGCCCACAGCTTGTCCAGGTACACCTGCTTGCCCTTTTAGAGGGAAGCACCCCTTCAAGAAACCCAAAATTCTTTTATCACAAACGGGCCTAACTACCCAGCAACAGAATAGCCCAAAAGGAGCAGTTTGTTTTGTTTTGTTATAACAATGGCTAAGAGGGGGATATGAACCCTGTCTCCCAGGTCCTAGTCCTACACTTTAGCCACTAAGCCACAATGGCTCATCTCTAAAATGGCAGTCGCCACTATCAGGGCAAAACAAACTTAAAGAAAATAAACTTGTTCAGAAACAGCATAGTTCAAGAGCATACACAGAGTGCTCATAGTCCTTGGAGGCACAGAGAGCCTCTGGGGCCCTCTGTCTGCCTCAGATATACATTAGCAGCAACTGGGCCTGCAAGCAGATACATTCCTATAGCGAGAATGAGTCACGTGTCAGAGACTTAACAATTAAGTGCTACCTGTAGCAGACTTAGGCTTGGAAGTTATGTGCAGGCCGAATAGGCCTCCCTGCTTCTGCTCTTGAGAATCTTAGTCTCATAGCAATATTAAAGGAACTCAAATTAGTGCTCCCACCCAAGGCTAGCTTAAAATTTGGCCAACAGCACTGCACACACTCAAAATAAAGCCAACCTTCGGGGATACTATAAACGAAAGTGATTCCAGCTAAGCTGGGAACAGCCCTGACTAGCCCCACAATTTCAACAAGAGAAATGGGGCAAACCTTTTTGCGAAAGAAAGCCCCTAACGGGGGCTCTCTCCCTATTGGGAAAGGCAAGCCACAGCTACAGGGAGAATCTTCCCACAGGGCAGGGTAAGGGGTGGGGTGGGAAATCGAACAGGAAAAGGGGGGAATTAAATTATTTAAGGGACTAGAGAGGATTAAAAAGAAAGGGGAAATAAAGAAATAAAGAAATGTAACCAGACAATGAGAAGATTGTCCAAGCTCCATGTGAATCAGTGCAAAAGGCCAAGAGGACGCCCAGTGTTGGACGTCCTGTATTTAAAGCCTCTGACCCCACCTCCAATTTGGCAACATTCAAAACTCCCCAGTAACCCAAATTAACCACTTAAAGGCTTGGGTTCCTCGCCAAATCTGCCCAGTAACAGCAGGGTGGCCTGTTCCCCCAACCGCAACACGTGCTCTCTTTTATGGAGAACACGCTTAATATAACAATGAAAAGAGCAACATAGTATAAAAAGTCAAATTTGCTTCTCATGAAACTTAATATATGGTTGTGTTTATCAGTAATATTCAAAAACAGCATGAGGCACTATCTTTACTGATTCCCCAAAATGTCAACAAGTATGAGAGAGAGAAGGAGGGAGGAGAAGATTTACTATTAACTCTAATGTATTAGTGTGGAGGAATCTACTGGAGAAGTAAGTCGGGGTTGCTAATTAAAACTTTATTCCACACAGAAGTTTAAAAGTGGAATTTGCCATTCAGCCTTTCATGTTATTTCCTGACAGTTGGCAGATAACTTCAGAGGCTAGGTTGCACTGTCAAAATAATTTATATATATTAAATGTCAACACAACTCAGGAGGAAGATAAAAATTTGCTTCCAGTGTGACATTTATATGCTGGCTCTTGATTCAGATATGCAGAGGTAGCGAGACATGTTAGCTAAAAGTAGTCACACTGCACATTTCTAAACATGATGTCCCATTTATGTTCAAAATGATGTGGACCTGAATCAATTAGGAGAAACAAGTGAGTTCCGAGAAGTATTTTTTAAAGAGCTGGTGGAGTTGCTTAGTAACCTGATGCTGTATTTCATTTCCCAAAAGGGCTGTAAAGCTGTCAGCACTAGTAATGGAGGAGCTCCTAGCGATGAATCAATTCTCATGTGTTTTGTCAAAGAACATGGGCAATATCAAATTACAGAGCTCACTTCCAGGCGTTGCACAGATGCACCGAGCAATATATGCAACAGGACAATGAGCTTGTGCTCTTTGCCACTGAATGATACGTTTGTATCCTAGGGTAGGTTACATTTAGTTGCCACATAGCCAAAGATTTCCCGAGCAACACTTTCCATAGAAGTGAATTCCACCTATTTCTCAGATTGGTGTTAGTCAAAATCTCCTTTGTTCTGCATTGACAGAAATCTACCATAGTAAACAATGCAAACAAGCTTTTCATGTCTGATGCCTCTGGCGGGTCCCTAAAACAACCCCATATTTCTGACACATAGCTATGTTGTTGTTACAACATTGGACAAGCATTTATTTATTATTCATAAATTAAATCTTGGACTTGTGCTGAAGTAATGACAGAGTTGGATTTACGTGATCACTTTTTCTGTCTTAAGAGTGAGCTGTGAGACGGGGATCCATGAGTATGTTTTCAAGCAATTCTGATACCTTCATGTCAGATATCACATTGTGATGGCATTGGTAAAATCATATGGGGTCATCACAGCAGATTGGATTAAACATCAGTGAGGGCAAAAGAGTCAGAGACAAAAAGAAAAACTGTGCCAGGAAGAACAGCAAAGAAGGGACATAAATAAATATGTCTGCAATGAGACTTAAATATCAAACAATATCTAGATAGCAAGCAACACCTGAAACCTTTACACCAGGCAGGCAATTCACCCAGTGATCTGCATGTTCATCACATCCAACTATCTATGTTCCTAATTATCACATCACCCACTACCAGATACATATCCTCATCATGCCCCTCTTCCTCAGAGTGTCAACCTCCTGTTGTAAACAAAAATCTGCCCTTTTCCCTTATGGGGTATCCAAGAGCCCATATAGAGTCCTTACATAGGTTCCCTATTGGTAGGAGAGAATAGCAGAGGCCAACCAGAGAATATTGAGAAGCAAAGCAGCTAGTAAGCTTGATCTTTATTGATCTGTTGCAACAGGGTGCTCCCCTCCCCTTCAGGAGAGGAGGAGGAACCTAGAAAAATGGTGTGCAAGGCCTTATAAAGACTTTTGAAATTGCCACCCTGTAGATCAAGACCACCCCCAGAAACATCATACATACATCACAGAAGGGGTGTAACCTAAGACCACCCCTCAGATACATCATACCTACATCACAAAAAAGGCAGTCTTAAAACAGAAATGTGAATGTTGTTTTTCTCCTGTCGTCGTTTATCTCCTGTCTGGCAGGTTACTTGATTGGATTGCCTGGGTAGCCTGGCCAGTCTTTTGTAAAGATAAATACTTAGTTCCTGGGCCAGGTCACAGGCTCACACCCTATTCAAACACAGACATACCCTTAAGACAGGATTTGTGAAGAAAAAGACAATGGGGAGGCTTTTCCATTTTCTTTTGACCTTGCAGAGAAAACATTTGGTCAGTTTGGGAATCAAAATGGTTCCAGGTCGGTCTTCCTGTGCTGATCTATGTATGTGCTTGGTTGGTACCCTCATGAACATTTAACATATATCTAAGACCTCAAAATTCCCATCACACTCCTTTCCCCAAACCCTCCTTCTCCATTACAGCAGGGGAGCTATCAACCTGGGAGTGGGACACAGCTACAAGTTCCCCAACAGCTTCATTTGCTTCTTCCAGATATTCCAAGTCTACCACTTGGGTCTCCTGGGAACAAACTTTTCCCCAGAGAGTTAGGAGCTCTTTCCACTGAGGACATACCTGCCTGACCAGTAAGGAAACCAATTCTAGCTTTCTACCTGCATAATTGTTCTTTGCAATATTCAAGGAGAAGAGCAGAGTGGTTTACCATGCCCTCTGTGCCCTATCTGCCCAACTCACTCAGCTGTTTAATTTGACTTGACACTTTGTCAGCAGGGGCTCATAAGACTAGCTCCCCTCCACGAGTTCCTCTAAATTTATATGCCTGGCTAGTTCATCCCAGCTTTGGCAGCCAATTGGGTCAAGGAGTGTGTTTCTCAAATTGCTGGGAGTAGGGAATTGAAAAGAGGAATTAAATCACAACTGTTAAGCCCCTAGGGGATGTGGAATTAACAATGGGTGTTGATAAACTGGAGCTTAATAAACAATGGCTAGTGAGTCAACCGTAGGGTTGCCATATTTCAAAAAGTGAAAATCCAGACACAAAACTTGTAGAGCTTTTATTTTTATTTTGCCAAAGTTGTTGACATGAGTTGCCATATGTCTGGATTTTCCCAGACATTTCTCGGTTTTCTGCCTGGACAGTTTCCTGGCTATGTCCAGGAAATTCCAGACATATGGAACCCTTGCTGGGAATTAAGTCCTTGGGGGAAGAGGCTTCCATCCTGAGAGTGATATTTAAAAACATTCAGTAATAACAGTAATAAAAAACTATCTAAATTTTACTTGATTTTTTCTGACTACATCATTACCTTTAAAAGTACCACTTTCCATGTAATTTTATGCTGTGCCTTGCACTCTAGCTTTGATAAACCAAACCAGGTTATTTTTAAGCTGATTTAAACTTATCTGAAAGCCAAAACTTTAAGCTGACTCTCCACCTCCCGATCAAACCACCTAGCCTTTTTAATTAAGAAAAACTGAATGTTACCCTAAGCTATTTTTTTAAAGGCTAAATCTATCTTTTTAAAAATCTAAGATGACTCTCCCACTGGTTAGATCTGTACTATATAGAACTACATATGTTTGTGAGGTTTTCCTTCTCATCCTTTCTCCAAAAAATGGAGTTTAGTGTAGCTTACTGTGGTGTTTTTAGCTTACTATAGCTTCCTTGCTAGGGTATAGCTGAAAACTGAATTTTTACAGACTTTCTACTCCTAGAATTTAGCTATATAGCTATATGCTATTGTAGGGTTTAGCTTTTAGCACAGAGCGACTTTAGTCCAGTGTGAGGTAATTAGTGTGAACTGTCGCTTAATTATTAAATAAATAGCTGTCCCTTTCATCACTTGGCTGTTTAATTTGCTGTGATGTGTTGTTGTTTATCAGCTGAGAGCAGAGCCACTTAGTTAGAGACACTTAGTTAGCTGGTCCCCCTAATGTTGCTCTTCTACATCTCCCATCATCTCTGACCATAGGCTGAGGATTATGGGAAGTAGAGACCAACACTGTCTAGAAGGCCACAGGTTCCTCACCATTTCCCCAGGGACATCTATGGGCATGTCAAAGGCTGGCAGTGGGATCAGTTGTAGGGTCCCCATAGGACACTTATCTGCTGACCATGTATGCCTACCTTTGATAACAACCTGCTTTATAGTCTGATGTTGTGCGCTCTATATTGTAATTGGCATTGCTGAGTTTTTACCTGAAATTCAAAGTGAATTTGAGAGTTCCTTTTCAAGGGAAACATTTGAGGAATTTGAAAAGAAGGCTCAGGACTGGTAACAATTTTCCAGAGAGTTCCGTTAATCGCCTAGATTTCCAAAGTAATCGTCATATTTTGTTTAAAGCAAAATCTGAAGCAGCTTTGAGGGATCTGGGAAGCCAAATGGACCTATGATGTGAACAAGAAAGAAAGAAAGAAAGGAGGAAAGAAATTCAGGTGGCTTGTGCACATACCTAATTCCCCTAAAAATTATTTTCCAAGCAATATAAATGACCTACTTCTTCCCAAGTGTCAGGGCCTCAGCTCCATTGTGATAATTATCTTTAGGTTTATCTTCATATGGGTTTTCGTGCCATGAACCATTCCTTACTTCTTGATCTTCGCTACAAACACAGCTGTTCTGGCACTCTTCAATAGTTTTGTACTTATTTGTCTAAACACTCATCTGGTGTTCCTTTTGGCAGTGTTACTTTGCTTCATCTTTCCCTCTTTCCTTTGGTTCCCTCCCCTCCTTCTCCTCCCTGCCTGGTTCTGATCTCGCTTTCCTTCTATTTTTTCCTTTATGTTTTTTTTCCCTGGGAGCTGTTATCAAGGCTCACAGCTTCCATAGATTCTATACTGATGATCCTCAGATGTATTTCCCTGATCTCTTGTCCTCTGTTCAGATTTGTATGTCTAACAGTCTGTCTAAAAATTTCCTCTGGATGTCTGAGGCATCTTAAACTTAATATGTCAAAAAAATCGAATTTCT